GTACTGTGTCACCTCGCAACAGTTATAAATGCGGTTCAAGATACTATCTAATTCCACTTACCAAGACTAAAAAGCTTACAACCTACTTCCTTGGAAAGTGCTTATTTATTTGGCAAGTCTATGGTTGTTGTTATTTAAAAAAAAAAAAAAGTAAATCACTCCTGGCCTGCAGTCTCATCCCTTCCCCCAATATGTAATGTCATCGACTTCCTGTGCAAGAGAGCGGCCTTTTGCTAAATCCAGGTTGTCTCCTGCTTAACTGCCAATAAACCAACTTCCACATAACTTCCAGACAGCTGGGGGAGAGGTCCCCGGGAGTTTTAGTCACGGTCCAGGAACACGCGTCCGCCCAAAAATCTGCAGCTGTCCTCTCTCTCCAGTGCATTTTTTTAAAATGGGATTGGGGGGGGGGGGGAGGGGGTAGGGGGGACCCTCTGGTGAAGCATCTGACAAAATGCAAAATCTTCTTAGGGGTACCTCCTGGCTGGCCCAAGGTGCTGGTGAGAGGGAAGGGGCACCAGGTTGGCCCAGCCCAGACCTTCAGGCAGGTCCTGCAGGCACACGGGCACCTCATGGGATGGAGAGGGGCATGCAAAACCTGGACAGACGTGGGCTGTCCCCTTTCAAGGCACAGACACTGGTGCAACTATTAAAAATGCGCCTTTTCTAAAGCAAGTATTTTTTTTTTTTTTTACACTGCTCACAGAAACAGCCTTCTTGATCTGCCAGCACTCGGACACCTTCCTGAGACTTTTTCACAGCTTGCTAAGAAACAGAGAGCTGACCAGATTCCAGCGGGGACTCCAAGAGAAATCCGTATCAGTAAAATGCAAATCAACGTGCAAAAAACTCCTCGGCAAAGAGCGGGGACTGTCTGCCTCTAAATCTTTTCCCCATCAGATAGGGGGCATCCGTGAAAGCTACTTCCCTGGAGCCGTCAAAAGTTTCCAAAAACACTTCTTCCCCAGAAGCCCTTTAGGCTCCCGGCTGCTTTAAGAGTTTTGTGGCTGGGGTCTCAGAAAGCTTTACATTCAACCGACGGCGAACGCGCTGGCATATTAAATTTATAATCATGAAAATATGACTTACTGGGTGAGTGTTGAACCCATAATCCATACTGCAGACATTAAACCCCAACCTATAAAGATTAGCACGGAATTAATACTGTGGGCAAGTCAGACTGAAACCTAAACATGTTCCCCATAAATATCTCGGGGAAGGAGATGAAAAACAATTAGCATACATACCAAAGGAGGGCAAGACCACCTGTTCTTTTTCAGGGTGATAAGCATTTTATTGTTCTCTATTTAAAATGTAATGACCTGTGTAATTACAGTAATATTGCATTGTTATGGAGGGGGCCCCCCCGGAATGTCACACTCTGAAAAGTGTTGTCAAAACAAAAGGGGATGCAGGTGGGGGGTGGGAGGACGGCCGGGAAGGACCACCATTAACCCTTCCCACTCCCGCATCTGGCTTTTTTGTAGGAGAGAGGATTATCTTGTTTGGATGAGGAGAAAAACATCCATTTTTCCACCGGGCTTCATACAGCCCCTGTGAATAGGCCCCTCTTGGCTCCCTGGAAATGCCTGATTCCAAGTTCAAAAATGAATTCAAGATGCTGCTTATTTATTTGTGCAACCTAGTAGCAAACAGCTCGGTGGAAAAGCAAATAACCTCTCGGGTAAAAGATGCAAGAAGAAGTCTGACCATCAAAAAGCAATCTCAAACCGAACTGGGATTCCGACCACACCAGATCCCCACTTCTGGCTTGGCAAGGAGGGGAAAAAGGAAGGCAACCCTACTTTTTTCCTATCAACTTTAATATGGTGACAGCCGTCTTATCTGTAACATACAAATGTTACCACAATCCTAATATTTGCAATCCTATCACTTCCCATCTATTTAGCTGGACCTCTCTCCTCTGACTGTGTTTTTGTCTTCCAATCTGTCTCTTAAAAAGCCGTTCCCAAGACCGCGTCAGAGACTAAATGAATGGCATGCAGAAATTTCTGTCGTTTGAAAATTAAAATTATTACTATCAAGCGTTATGGCGTCTCCAGCCATGAAAGCGTTATTCTTGAGATAATGTGGTATTCATCCTACGTAGATTCAATGATACTCCTTAATTCTTTACATGCTCCGATAGAAAAGCAGAAATCAGGGATGGAAAGAGTTGGTTTTTTAAAGGGATGCAGCTGCTTTGCAGGTACCTGACAGGCAACAGAAAACGGAGCAAAAACACCCCCGCCAAGGAGGGTCGGATATGAATGAAGCACACAGCTAATTTGTCTTTACACCTTGCCCTCCCAAACACCCTCTAGGAAGCACTAAGCACTGCAGATAGGCATGAAAAGACGGCAGTCTCGCCTATAGATGCCTCCGGCAGCTGTATCAAATCTGGAATTGCAAGCTGGCCCCTCTGACGGGAGACGTCAGGAGTGACACACAACAGCCTCGCGTCCTCCTTTCCATGGCTCTGCTAACCGGCCTAAATAAATAACTTTTTAATTTTGGAGCGCAAAAATCTAACCCGGGGAACAGACAGACAGGAAGGCGGAAGGGGCAGTGCACACACCAAGATGCCAGTGGGTGTTTGCCATGCAAATGCGGCAAACTGCCTACTGAGTTCAGAAATGCCTCCTCGGACCCGATCTGATGTCACCGCACACGGCCACCCGCTAGGTCCACAATGAACAGAACCAGACTCTGTCTATTCCTATAATGCCCACCAAGGGGGCCGGCGGCTCGGGGGCCTTCCCTCTCGCGCCAGGAAATCGCTTCTTTGCCTCCAACGATTTTTCCCTGTTTCCCCGAATGACAGCCCAACGCCACTGCTCAAGTTTTCGGAGGAGATAGGATGGCGACACGGCCAGCCGTCACAGCCTGGGAGTTTGCAGAGAGAGTCAAGCAAGCCAGCAAGACGGCCATCCGGGCTCGATATTCAGATGGCCAAATGGGTTTTTAAATAATACCATGGGAGGGGGAGGGGAGGAGAGGAAGACATTCTCCTGGTTACTTTGGAATGTTGCTCGGTCGGGTTAGTGAGTACACAAACCATCCGATTCGGAGCAGAAAGCTCTTGCCCTCCAGCTCCGGAGGGAAAAAAAAAAAAATACAACGAAGCCGGGCTGTGCTTCCCCCACCCCATGGCCGGGTCCCTGCAGCCTGAAGGTGCTGGCCCTGCAGGGAGAGTTCGGCGAAGCGGCTCTCCCAGCTTCCCCGACAGGCAGAAGCCTGGGCGCAGGGGAGGGGGGATAATTCTTTCTCTTTCCTAGCCATACAAAAATGACCGCTCTAGCATGCCCTTGCCATTTTGTTATTTATTTATTTTTTTTTGCCAGGGCCCACGAAACAAGTCCAACCTGATGGTTAATATTTTAATGCTTAAAAACACTTGTAGATCTGATCGACTTCCCGTCCGCCAAGCCCTAGGGTCATGAGCATCGAACCCATGCCTGTTCAACAGCGGGTGCATTATTTCACACAGCTATCTCCAGTTCCCGAAAGCAGAAAAAACAAGAGTGTGTGTGTGTGTGTGTGTGTGTGTGTGTGTGTGTGTGTGTGTAAACAAGGGGTGGTGGATCAGGGGGGACCAAACCAGAGAAGGTGCAGATGACAATTCCGGTAAAAACCCGGCACAAATGGCTCCAGGCTGCGGCTAGAGGTTCTTCCATCCAGGCTTCTTAGCGGATGGGGGGAGGGAGTTCAGGGCAAGGGCAGGGGGCAGAGGCCAGTCCCGGAAGGGGGTGAGCCTTAGGAACAAATGTCAGCGCTGGGCAGCAGCACAGCCTGCGGGAAGCGGCCAGGAGCCTGGCACCCCGAGCCGCTGCAGGGCCTCCCAAGTTGGGAAGCCCACGATCAGCAAGTCCCTCCCTGGAAAGAGGCGCCCTTGGCTTTCCCCTCTGCACCTTGGGCCCTAGCACCCCACTGTCTGCCTCCCCTTCCCTAGGGCTCACTGAGCTGGCAGGCGCAGACCCCGCTCTGGCCCTCTAAGCTCCAAGGCACCAACATTCCCTAGAAACACGCCTCCAGTCCGCTCGGAGACGGCGGCCATCCCGCCTGCCCACAATCCCAGAACCCGGCCTCAGGGGCCTCCCAGCCCCGCGCAGGCCGGGGAGGGGGCAGCCCGCGGCCAGGGCGCCAGGGAGCCGAGCCCGCCAAGGCGCCCGGGGAGCGGGCGGCCCTGCGGGGCGGCCCAACCACAGCAAGCCCGGAGGCCCCAAGTTTGCAGCGGGGCCAGTCTGGCCAGCGTGACCTCCCAGGGCACAGGGGGAGGAGGGCTGAGGGCCGGCGATCGGCACTAGAAAGCTAAACAAATATCCGAGAAAGCCGGGCGCTTCTCCGAGGCCTCGGGCTCCGCGCGCGCTCCGACCCCCGGAGGCCAGGCCCCCCTCCGGCCCTCGCGCCCCCGGAGCCCCGGCCGCGGCAGCCAAGGGGTTAACCGGGGAAAGCCCGAGACGCCGAGAGAGAGAGAGAGAGAGAGAGAGAGAGAGAGAGAGAGAGAGAGAGAGAGAGAGAGAGAGAGAGAGAGAGAGAGAGAAGAAAGAGCCACACAGTCATCTTCCCAGGGCGCAGAAACAAACACCGCCGGAGTGAGGGAGGGAGGGGGCAGCAATCGGGGCGCACAAAATAAAGCTTCTCGGGTTTTTTTTTTCCCCCTCCCCTCCCCAACAAAAGCCCTGCTCGGACAGAGAGAGGTCTCCACTCCCGGGCCCCCCCACCCCCCGACATCACGAGGCAGCAAACTGAAAGCAAGAACATGGCGAAGTGCAAACAAAAATCCAGTCCACAAAAGGCAGAAAAGTTTGGAGAGTTTTCGGGCGGCCTGGGCCGCGGGCGGGGGAGGGGAGGCGGGGAGGGGCGGAGGCGGGCGGGGGAGGGCAGGGAGCGGAGGGGAGGGGAGGGAGGAGGGGAGCGAGGGGAGGAGGGGGCAGGGGAGAGGCCGCATGCGGGGCCGGCGGGGCGGGCGGGCGGGGGCCGGGCGCGGAGGCACTTACGGTTCGGGCGGTGGGCGAGAGCGATCCGTTGGGGAGGTAGGGGCTGGTCAGGTCGGGGATCATGATGAAGGGGTAGCCGGGGTACGGTGGCCCCTTAAAGAGCCCTCCATCTTGCCTCTTGGCCGCTAACATGGCGGGGCGGCGGCGGAGCGGGAGAGAGAGCGGGAGAGGAGAAACTTTTTAGCCGGCGGCCCCGGCGGCCGTGCGCCCCGGCCGGGCGGGCGCGGAGCCGGGCCGAGCGGGGGCGCGGGCCCCGGGCGCGCGGGGGGCGGCGGGCCCGGGGGATGGGGGGGAGGGGGTTGGGGCAAATCGGGGCGCGCGGGGCGCACTCACCTTCTTCCAAACTTTCCCGGGATTTATCTCGGAAACTTTCGGAGCGAGGCGGAGGCCGTCTTTCCGCCTTCCCGGAGGGATGGAGGTGGGGAGGGCGAGGGGCAAACGCCACGCAGAAGAGGGGGAGCAGGGTGGGGGGGAGAAAGAACCAGCAGGGTGCGAGGTTCGGGGGTAGGTGGGGGGGGGGGGGGGAAGAGAGAGAAAAACAGGGTTACAAGTTTTCGCCATGGTGGCCCGGCACGCACACGCCGCCCGCCTGCCCGCCTGCCCGCCCGGTCGGCCCCGCGATCGGCGCCCCGATTTCTCTCCCCCGGCCCCCGATTTCTCTTCTCCCCTGGAAATCAACGTTTGCCAAACCCAGGAAATAGGTTTTTTTTTTAAAAAACCCACCAAGCCCGAGGGGGACTTTCTCCTACCTCGGAATCGGAGGAGCTGTTTTGATTCGTTTCTGATTCATTGACGAGGGACGACTTGACATCGGCCAGGTCCCGCTCCGCCGAGGAGTTCTCCGAGCTCTTCTCCTCCTGCTCGCCCTCGTCTTTGAAGGAGATCAGCTCGTCGTTGGCGCCTAGGTCATCTCCTCCACCGCCGTTCAGCTGCGGCATGTTTTTTTTCCTTCACCCACCGGCAGCAATTTTGGAAGAAAAAAATGAACGAGGAAGAAAAGCAAAAAAAAAAAAAAAAAAAAAAATACCCCCCAAAAAAAGTTTTGTTTCCCCTTCCTCCGAAAAAAAAAAAATAATTGCAAGAAGAAAAAAAAAAAAAAAAGACGAGTCCAAGGTGAACTTTTTTTTTTTTCTTTCAGCTTTGGGGTCTTTTTTTCTCTCCTGGGGAGGGGAAAAGAGGGAGGAGGGGAGGGGAGGAAGGGGTAGGGGGGGAGAGAGATTCTGCACGCGTGAGTTGGGGTTTCTTTTTTTCCTCGCGTTCCCAAGGATCCGATCAATGTGCAAAAAAAAAAAAAAAAAGAAAAGAAAAGAAAATAATAAATAAAAAAGGGGGGGTAAGAAGAAAAAAACACCACCACCACCACCACCAACAAACAACAAGAAGTCAGATATAAAAAAGCGCAAAAGAGGGGGGGGGGCGAAAGCCGAAGATACAGGAGGAGCTCGTGCCGCTCGAATTTGAGTGAGTTGAAGTTAGACTGAGAGCTTTTCAGTTCAAAGGCGGCGCTGATTGACAGATAGAAAAAGGGGATCGAAATCCGGAGGAACGGAGTAGTCTGGGAGCGGAGATTATTGACAGGGCGAGAGGAACACACTCGCTTAATGAGATGCCGGGGGGCGGGGCCGCGCCGGTGACGTGTGCATAAATAAACAGCCGGTGGGCGGGGCGGGGGCGGCCAACAATGATCCTTTCGGGCGCCGGGAGCGGGAGGCGGGAGGGGCGGGGAAGGGGAAGGGGGAGGGAGAGAGGGGGAGGGGGGAGGGAGGAGTGCGGGGAGGGGAGGGGAGGGGGAGAGGCCTGCGCTGAGTGTGCGACCCCGGGAGCTCGGGCGAGGGGACGGACGGACGGGGGGACTCGCTCCGGTTCAGGGGGGTGGCCTCGGAATGACAATGCGGAGTGGGAGAGGAGGGGAAAGGGGTGGCGACCAAGTCAGGAATCCGAGCCCTAGGAAGGCGGAAGGAAAGCCCACTTGGTTGGGGGGGAGGCAGGGGCGGGGATGGGGAAGAGAGGCCCAGCAAACAGTGCAGTTTTAAGAAATACTATAGAAATCAAGTCTTCCAGAGAGAGGGGAAAGGAGGGGGGGTGGTGGTAAGGAAGGGGTGCATGGGTGGGGGTGTGAGGGGTGCTCAGGGGGTGAATCCCGCAGTTGAGATCAGCCACCCTGCGGCAGGGTGTGAACCGAAGTGGCCAGAAGAGAAAGATCCAGCCCTCCACTTTCGGCGGGCTTGGGGAAGTGGAGGGCTGGCTGGGCAGAGTTCCTGGTCATTGCAGTGAAAGAAACTATTAACCCACGAGGTCTTCCCTCCCTTTTTTTTTTTTTTTGTTTGTTTGTTTGTTTGTTTGTTTTTGTTTATTAACAGTGAATCAGTTCGTGAAACGTTGTCTCCCTAGAACAAATATGCCAAGATGACTTTTTATCCAAAAAAAAATAAATCCAAATCTGTAGTGTTTGTGAGGGATATTAAAAATATCTTTTAAGAAAAAAAAAATACATGATTCTGTAGTGTTGGTTGGGTGTGTGTGTGTGTGTTTAACTGACGTCGGAGTTGGTAGGAAATGAGCTAGGATTCAAAGTCCTTTCTGACTTTGGAGGTGAAAAGTTTGGGCGTTAACACCACCAGGGAAAATAAAACTGAAAGTTCATCAAGCCCCGGGATCAGAGGTGCTGGAGTCTTCCTCCAAGGGGGTCCGAAATGAAATCCCGGAAAGACTGCCCAAATAATCAAGATGTAGATGGCTCTGGCAGGAAATTGCTAACCAAGCTGAGGCTGGAGGACCTCAGGGAGGAGATGGAAAACCTGGGGTTTGAAACAGGCGTTTTTTTGTTGACTTGGGCACTCTCCTGGGAAGCAGATTGATTTGCTACAAAATGGGAACGGAATTATGTTTAAAGGGGGAACGGCCAGGCTTCCGAAACAGTGTTCCTGGGTGATGAAACAAGAACACTCATTTTCTTGCAAATAGCCAATGAGAAGTGGGGCTAGGAATCCAACATGAAAAGGGGACAAAAAGAATGGGGGGGAGGGGGAGAGAGGAAATCAGTAGGAATTAGCAAATTGTTAGAAATAGTGTTGGTCTAGAGTCAATGATGCATTAAATTATCCCACCCATCCCTAAAAAAATAAAAGTAAATAAATAAAAATCTCGCCCTGGCTGGCTTGGCTCAGTGGATAGAGCATCGGCCTGCGGACTTAAGGGTCCCAGGTTCGATTCCAGTCAAGGAAGGGCATATGCCCAAATTGGGGGCATGCAGGAAGCAGCTGATCAGAGATTATCATCCTTGATGTTTCTATCACTCTCTTCCTCTCCCTTCCTCTCTGAAATCAATAAATACAATTAAAAATCTCACTTGCTTTTCAAGCCAGCCCATCAGCACCTAAGATTTCCAAAAGAAAAGCAGATTTACCATGTAATATTTAGAGAGTTTGGGGTTTCAGCAAAACTGTTTTATAAGCTAAAGGTCTCAGAAAGAAAGAAAGACTACTAAAAATGATAGCAAGACTGACAAGGCCCATGCATTCCCCTGCAATGGAAAAAATCCACAACCACATTTGCACACTAAACAGTAAGAGATGCAGGCAAAATAAAGACGTGGTGGGGAGGGCTGGAATCACTGTAACTCCCAACTTTAATATTAATCAGGAAAATCAGAAGTGGAGTGAAAAGATGCCTGAAGAGAAGTAGAACAAATGTGTACATTTAATCAGGCAGGATTGAATAGGGTACAAAGCACAGGACTAATTAGTCTCAGCAGGTAGGACTAACCTTCAGACTTCATAAATAAATAAGGCGGGCACCGTTTCTAAGAGGGAGAGTGGAGACAGAAAGGGGATTATTTCAAGACACCAAGTAAAAACATGAAGAATGAAATGCTTCACTGTTAAGTCCATGTACAAATGGATTTAACAGTTTCCTTTTTTTTCTTTAGGTCTTTTCACTTGCTTGCCTGTAGGTTTATACATCCAGCGAATGGCCAGTGGCTTTTCACACTTTGCTAATTGTCACCTGTACACTGAGTGTGCCCAAGTCTGTGTACAGCCTAGACTTTCCGAAGGCCCGGTTTAAGGGCTTATTTACTTTAACTGGGACACATTTATAGTAACTCGATTTTATGGCAATTTCTCTCTCCTGGGTGGTGGCATTTTGTTTTTTTCATCTAACCCCGATCTGAATGTAGTGGGATAATGAGGCCTTCTATATCCTTTATAGAGGACTACCTGGATAATAAACAGACTGACTGGAAATGTTAAAGAGTGTACTTATTGTTTTGAATGTCCTGGCCTGCATTTTTATCATATGTAAATATGATGGCTTTCTTCTGATGATCAGTAGCCTCATACATTTTGGCATATCCTTATATTTCTCATGCAAAGGAAACCCTTGAATCTTTCTTTCTTTAAATCTCTGACTTAATCAAGCAATTAAAAGTTATTTCATGATAGCAAACGTGCCACTTTTAATTTCCTTGCCTGGTGCCATAAAAAGGCTTGGGAAGACCAGCCAGGCTCTCAGACGGTCAGTAATCCCAGGGTCTCCTAAAGGGCTTTGGGTGATGTCAGGATGGAGGTGAGGGAAGGAGTTGGGCAGGGAACTGCAATTAGCAGAAAGCAAGGTCACATAATATATATATTTGAATATTTTTATTGATTTTTTTACAGAGAGGAAGAGAGAGGGATAGAGAGTTAGAAACATTGATGAGAGAGAATCATCAGTCAGCTGCCTCTTTCACAACCCCCACTGGGGATGTGCCCGCAACCAAGGTACATGCCCTTGACCGGAATCGAACCTGGGACCTTTCAGTCCACAGACTGACGCTCTATTCATTGAGCCAAACCGGTTTCAGCCATAATATGTATAATTTTTTAATTAAAAAGTCAAGTTAGGCCCACAAAATGGACATGTGATTTATAGAGTTGGTGTAAACTTTTAAAGAACAGTTGCCGTGTGTCCAGGCTGAGGCAACTTGGACACTTCTTTCCTAGTTTAAACCAACTTCGCTCTCTAGATATTGATGACTCCTGGTCTATAGCAGGGATTCTGAAAGCAGAGAGGAAACTAGACCAGTTCTGACTTGAACTCGAATTAAGGGATTTTGCCATCTCGGTATACACATCGGGGGAGATGCTGTGGCCTCCTCCTTCGGAGGCTGTGCAGGAACCAGCCCAGGACCTGAACTCCAGGTAGACTGTCCCTTAGGTTCCCTTTCTTCTCTGGCTCCTCATCCGCAGCTTCTTCACTTCTCTTTTCACTGCTCCCTTCAGCCATCCTCAATTAAATATTGGTGGATAACCGAAACCGGTTTGGCTCAGCGGTAGAGCGTCGGTCTGCGGACTGAAAGGTCCCAGGTTCGATTCCGGCCAAAGGCATGTACATTGGTTGCGGGCACATCCCCGGTAGGAGGTGTGCAAGAGGCAGCTGGTCGATGTTTCTCTCTCATCGATGTTTCTAGCTTTCTCTCTGTAAGAAAATCAATAAAATATATTTTAAAAAAATATTTGTGGATATATGTTGATTTAATAAAAGTAATATAGCCCTAGCTGGGGACAGAGCGTCGGCCTGCAGACTGAGGGCTCCCAGGTTCAATTCTGGTCAAGGGTGCATGCCCGGGTTGTGGGCTTGATCCCCAGTGGGGGGCGTGTAGGAGGCAGCCTATCAACGATTCTCTCTCATTATTGATGTCTCTCTCTCTCTCTCTCTCTCTCTCTCTCTCTCTCTCTCTCTCTTCCTCTCTGAAATAAATTTTAAAAATATTTTTAAAAGTAAAAGTAATATGCATAAAATTAAGTGAATGAGTTACCTTTCCAAGGCATACTTCCTTGTTCTTCCCTACTGGGGAGTGTGGAAAGGATGCTCGTCTCTATAAATGGCCTGTCTGGCAAGGCTCCTCATGGGAGTGGCGGCAGAGTGTTAAGCGCCCTCTGGAAAGCGTGGGAGGAGA